CCTCCAACTACACCAGGCTCCGCAGAACAACATCATCCTCGCTGAATCGGATGACAATGACCTCGAGGACCTCGGCGAAGAAGATGTTGGACAGCAGTGGGGATAGCACACATCCTTGTCGCACGCCCTGTGTCACGAGGAACCAGTCCGATAGTTCTCCGTCATCCATGCGCTCCCGATCCCGCATTCCATCGTGGAATTGGCAGATGACTTTGATCAGCTTCGCGGGAATCCCGGCCCTGGCCAGCACCTTCCATAGCATCTCTCAGTCCACCGAATTATACGCCTTGTTCNCGCCCTGTGTCACGAGGAACCAGTCCGATAGTTCTCCGTCATCCATGCGCTCCCGATCCCGCATTCCATCGTGGAATTGGCAGATGACTTTGATCAGCTTCGCGGGAATCCCGGCCCTGGCCAGCACCTTCCATAGCATCTCTCAGTCCACCGAATTATACGCCTTGTTCAAGGCGACGAAGCACATGTAGAGCGGTATTTTCTTTCTCCGCCCCAGCTTCTGGAGGCGGCGCACGATGAACAGCATATCGACCGTGGATCGCCCGGGTCGAAATCCGCACCGTTCCTCCGGGAGGGTGTTGTTGACTTCGTTGAAGGCGCTGAGACGGTTGGTGATGATCTTGATGGGGACCTTGCTTACGTGAGATAGTAGCGAAACCCCCCTGTAGTTGTTACAGTTGGCCCGGTCCCCCTTCTTGTACAGCAACTTGATGGTTGCATCCTTCCACTCTCACGGGATATTTCCTCCGTTCCACACCTTGACGAGGATGGTATGGAGGTGTCCCAGGACGAAGGGTTCGTCGTCATCGATCTTGTGCAACCCGGCAGGGAGGGAGTCATGGCCGGTTGCCTTCCAGTTCTCGAGGCCTTTCGTTGCCCGTGCCACCTCCTCGAGTTCTGGCATATCTCCCAACCGCTGAATGTCACGTGTCGCTGGCCGCTGCGTCACTCGTTCGATGATATCTGGGTTCAGGGTGGGGGATTTGGTGTTGAGTAGGGTGCTGAAGAATCTCGCCCACCGCTGGAGGATGTCGTCCCTGTTCCGGAGCAACACGCCGTTCTCATCCGCGACGAACTGCTGTCCCCCCGCTTGTCTCCCTCTGAGGCCCACTGATCCCTTGAGGTGTTGGTACAGTCCTCGCATGTCGCGATCTTTGTAGATTGCTTCGAGGTCAGTCACATATCCGTCCAGGTGGGCATAAATACCCGATTCGACTGCTGTAGCCACTCCCTAACACGCTGCTTTGAGAACCCTCCACGTTGCTGAGTCCCAGCTACCCCTCATCGCCCGGCGCGCTTCCCGCCGTTTGGAAAGGGCCTGCTCCAGCGCTGCTCGCGTCTCTGGGGTCTCACACCATTCCTGCGTGCGGCGTCTCCGCAGTTCCTCCCCTAGGGTCGTCCGCGCTGCTTCGAGGAGCATTGGTAAAGTCGGTCGCCAATTCCGCGGCGGTGGTTGTTCGCTCGTCCAGTCGTGTGTCGAGGTTGAGGAGGAACCGACTAGTCACCGCACACCGTGCTGCTTCGAACTGCAGTTCCCGTCTGTTGAATTGCTTCTGTTTCGGTTTAGTCCGGACTGTACAGTTGTGGGCAAGCCTGTCACCGAGGTTGACGGTGGCTACTACCATATTGTGGTCTGAGTCTGCTTTGACTGGGCGAACCGGCTGGGGGATGACAACTACGTTAGATACTCGGCCGTGATGTGCCTGCCTTGTCAGGATGTAGTCAAGGCGCTTGCAATCGGTTCCCGACACACCGTTGTATGCATGCCATATTCAACCTTTGCGTGTCTCGAAGAACGTGTTCGTGAGAGCTAGTCTGTTTTCCATTGCGAAATTCGTACAGGAGCATGCCATTGTCGTTGAGCTCATCACGCCGGTACATTCCTATTACCCTTCCGTCCCCTCCGTCCAACCTATCTCCCGTCCGCACGTTGGCGTCCATTAGGGCATACACACGTTCTTTGGAAGGGATCCTCCGCACGAGACTGTCAAGTTTTCCCAAGAACACGCGATTGCTGTCGGTGGTTGAAGGTTCGGTTTGAGCATACGCGGCTACGAAGTTGACCGCTCCACGGTGGCCTGTCAATAAAAACTTCATGGACATAAGGCATTCGTCGATAAACTCCGTAGTGAACGTGGATGCCTCGAACAGTGACTCTTTGGCGGCTATCCCCACACCATGGACTTCACCAGTCTCCGTGCCACAGCAGAACACCCGGAAACCCTCTGCTGCAAATTCCGTTCGACCTGCCCTCCGTGTCTCCTGCATTCCTACCACCGTTACGTCTTGTCTCGCTGCCTCGTGTAGAACGCTGTAGGCTCTCCCGTATCCATTGGCCCCGTTTACAGCCAAAGTCCGCATATTCCAGGTTGCTACTCTAAGAAGTTGACCCTGCTGCTCAATCGCGGCGCGCGCTGCTCTCATAGCCAGCCTACGCGCCGCCCGACTCCTCCTTTTCCTCCATTTCTAGGATTAGGGGAGCCTGCTGTGTTGATGGTTGGTTCTCCACTGAATTTCGCGGTTCTCGGAGGGTGTCGGTTCTTGCGCTACAATCAAAGCCCAGGCACGAAAGCGCAGCCTTGAAGGACTCAGAAAATGGGTGTGTGTACCAGTTGAGGGGAAGCACAACATGCTATAACAGATGGGGGGGCGAGTGTGGAACGTGAGGTGCTTCGGCATAGAGACTTCCCCCCCCGCGCGTGAGCGCTTGCTCTCCTCCCGTAACAAAAGGAAAGTTTGACGAAGAAGAGAGCTAACCGAGGCGATGGATGGTGGCAAGGCCAGGAAAAGCGGCGCTTCGATATAGACCGCCCAACTGCTAACAGCGTCTGAATATCCACCCTCTCTTCCCTCTCGCACCCTCCCTCCCACATGGAGCAAACACAACGCACCTGTCCTTCCGTTGAGTTCGCCTTCGACTTGACGAGCGCTTGGCGAGATCGGTGCCCGTTTCGTGTGGCTTCCCCGAGAGGAATGGTCTCGCCCCCATGGACCGGTGCCGTGTCGACCCTTGTCGGTGATGATGAGGATGGCGGGGGTTGATGGTCAACAGCTTGCTGTCCGTTGACTTCCCCATCGCCAGACGAGACCGGAATCGATCCCTGCCCTTCAGCAACCCCAGACGCAGCCGCAGCCGCAGACGCAGACGCAGCGGCAGCAGACGTAGCATCCTTTCGCCCTTCGATGTAAACAAGGAGAGATTGTAGCAAACGCATGCGCCCTTCACAAGCGGAGCGCTGCAAAGCTCGTTGTTAGTAAACTTGATCGACTTCATAAGTCGCGAGGGAAGGGATTGCTATACCCTTCTCGCGATAAAAATATCTCAGGCAGGAACCGCAGGAGGGGGTCCAACCCCCCCCTCCTATGTGACCCCGATTGGGTCGTCTAGCTAGTAGAAGTGGAGGATGGGGGGCAGAGGGGCAGACGACAGAGTCCAATGATGGGAGAAAAAACAATCTGAGCGTGCATCGCTCTGCGCGTGCATTGATCAGACGCTGGGTCTCCCTAAATGTCTATCCAGGCAACGCTAGCACTATTATTCGACGAAAAAAAGAGCGTTGTACCTCAAAATGTCTACGATGTATTTTCGTTCTCACCTGTGTCGACGTACTTTCGCCGAACAATCCGCAGCAGTTTGTTCTCGTCCCCGGCATATTTAGCCAGCAAGCGGTCCACCTTGCCGAGCTTGTGCGGCGCGAACCGCATGTAAATCGCCTCCAACTGACACCTCAGATGGCGTATCGGGTGGGAGGCAAGAGAAAATGACGAAATAGTGGCGGCCATGGTGAGGCAACTTCCGGCGATTGGGCTCCGTCGCACCACGCGACAAAATCACCAGTGGTGCGTTAAGGGCGCGGTGGGGATCGCAGTTTTCCTCTTCACAGTTTTCCTGTTCAAAAATAGGAAACGCCTGCATATCTCAGTTTTCCAAAATCTAACTCCAGTACGAAAATTCAATCGCAAGTAAACCGTCCGCTGACCCCCTCTCGTGTACAATGTTAGTATCTGAGATTGTAGCCCTTGCGATACACTGATGACTAGCGGTTCGCGATTTTCCAAACGATCCTTGTAGCATCGAGATCGGCGAGCTACAAGCAGGATTTTTGCAGCTGCTGTGCGGTCCGATTTTGTAACGCTTCAAGCACCTGTGTTTCTGGCTAGACCTACAAATACACCACCGCAGGCATGCAAATTGACTGTGGCGACGAGAAGAACATGTGAGGGAAGAGCTGCGCTGAAGTTCGCGGCCCCACAGATTTACATAGGCGCTGATTCGCCGTTGCTGTATGCTTGAGGGGTTTCAAAATCGGACCGTACAGCAGCTGCAATGTCCTGCTTGTAGCTCACCGATCTCGATGCTACAAGGATCGTTTGGAAAATCGCGAACCGCTAGTCATCAGTGTATCGCAAGGGCTACAATCTCAGATACTAACATTGTACACGAGAGGGGGTCAGCGGACGGTTAATTTGCGATTGAAGTTTCGTACTGGAGTTAGACTGGAAAACTGAGATATGCAGGCGTTTCCTAGATTTGAAGAGGAAAACTGCGATCCCCACCGTGCCCTTACAACGGATACACGATCGGAACAACGCTTGCATGAAGGCAACCCGGAAATATTGCTGGACACACGCAACCAGACTTCCTGCGAACGTCAAGCTGATCGACCGCAGAGCAGCCTGAAATCCGAACCTACATAACGGCCGTGGTGGCCCAATATCAATCCCCTCAGCAGCTAGACCCCACAGGTTTGCGTACCGAACAATGGCCCCAAGCTACCTACGCATCGAACACTTCCCGTCGAAAAATCAGTATCAATGTACTCCTAACCTCACCTTTCTTCGTATTTTTGCCACGGCTGCCTCGGCCTCCTTCCTCTCCTTCTCCCTCTGCGCCGCGCCCGCCGCCGAGGCGTCATGGTTGTACAGTCTATTCTGCGCGTCCCTCTTGGCGGTGTCCTCGTACCTCTTTCTGTCGTCCGCCTTAGCGTGCAGGACGGACAAGGCCGCGCTCACGACCTGGGCCTTGATTTGCCTGTCCAGCGGAGAGTCTGTCGCGAAGCTTGGTAGGTGGTTCACTTCGATCAGCCACGGCTTGAGCGCCGCGTCGATCATGAAGTCAAACCCGAGTATCTCCACACAGCGAGAACCCTCCACCACACCCTTGCTGTCACCAGCGGGTTTTCCTTTCCCCTTCTCCCCGCCAGCGTGCGCGCGGCGGTTGTTGGCTCCGGCAACAGTCTTCCCGTCACCATCGACTGAAATGTCGTAGTTCTGCGCCTGCTTTCCTCCACATCTCTCCCCACGTTCTGCTATTCCTGGTTGGGTCCCGTTGCCACCAGGTTCACTATCCTTCTCCACGGCACCGGTACCTCCTGCAGCCCCCCTTGAGCTTCGTGGCGACGTGGACTCTACTTCTTCCAGAGTTTTGTCCTTGCCAGGAGCCTCACTGGAGAAATAAGAAGCAGGTTCGTCTTCCCCCAGTTGTCGCGGGGGCTGCTCTTCTGAACCACTTATCTGACCGACGATTCCGTCGCGGATAGAATCCCCGGTTCTACACGAATCAGAGTCCCAACTGCTGCTTCCCGTATTTTCAGCCTCAACCCTTCCTACCGGTGGCCGCGCGTCACAACTCCTGTTCGAATCGCTGCGAGCGACATTTCTGGAGGAGGCACTAGTTTTGGCGTTGGCGGTGTTGGAGGCGGTGTTGGCGGTGGTGTTGGTGGCACTTGTGGCAGCGGGACGGTGCAGGCCATTGTCGTGGCCAAACATATGCAGGTACTCTCGGTGCAATATCGGCAACACAGACACGAGGGTCTTGGTGATCGCTCCGCCCATCTTCCGCCAGAGCGCGTCCGCCTTCTCCTGGCCGCCGCGCTCCGCCGCGATCCAGCCCAAGAGCCAGCGCAAGCTGCGTTTGCTTCCCAGGTCGGCCTGATCGTTTGCAACGAAGTTGTCGGAGCCTTTGTTGACGGCATAGTTGGTGAGGTGCATGCAGCGCCTGCCAAGGTTGTCGCTAGAGGCCCGGCTATACTCCTCCGTGCAAAGCCGCGTGAGGCCATCCTTAAAGGCGTACACGCGCAGGGGGATCACGCTGGTGACAAGGACGTACAGACGGAGGTCAAACTTGAAGCCCTCGATCAGGAGTGGCCTTTGAACGTAAAGCTGGGCCACCTGGCTCTCCGTGGCTTCCACTCGCTCGAGGTTCTGGGTGAGGAAAATGCCGCGGCCCTGGCACCCGCTGTCCGGCTTAACGATGAATGTTCGCGTCGACTTCCCGCTGGTGTCGAACTCCGTCTTGAAGGTTCCCCACTCCACGGGCAGCACCCAAGTTCTGGGGTAGAAGCTGTACTCGTGGGGGAAAGTCCGCCTCATGCGGTCGAGGTTTTGCGCCAAGCGACCCTTGCGCGCAACGTTGGACATACCCGGGAAGTGGTTGATGCGTTGCCACCTGTGTAGGTGCTGCATTCGCTCCACAATGGCGGGCACGTCGATCCAGTACACGTGGCACTTTCGGGTGGAGCTCGCTTCAGGGTCCTCGTTGACAAGCTTCCAACCTTTCGCCTGGGCCGCTGCTCGGACAACGTCATACTTGCAGTCCGCGATGCACATCAAAACCTGCTTGATGCGTTCAGACGCCGACGACGAAGCAGATGCCGAGTGAGGTCGTCAATGTCGACCCAAGGTCATTGTGGTGTTCTTCGGGGTTTGACGGTTTTTTTCCCTCCAATGCATAGTCCAGACGTATGTGGATTACATGCGTTCAGTAGACTACTAGTCAATCCCGTCTACATATGGCTACCATTGTTATCGGGGGTGGAGGACGTAGTGTTCTCGTCCGCAGAAGATCTACAGCCCTGCCGCGATACCGAGGCGAGCTAAGGCCCAACCGACAGTCTGTTGGGACAAAGACCCTCTACACTGTAATGCATGCTGCGTTTGCCGCACCTGAGAAGATCTTGACGACTTTTTCCTGGATCTTTCGGACAACGACCCTAGTCGCTCGCTCGTCACAGCTTGGCCGGTAGGATTGGCCTCCATCGACAGCTACAAGACAATGTGAGCTGTAACTCCCCGAATACGAGCATGCGCGACGTTGCAGACGTACCTTTGCCCTATTCACTCAAATAAAGGCTGCGAGACCCTGATGGCCGCACCGTCTGAGAGTACCCAGGCGGAAGATTTGCCCAAAGATCGCCACTGCAAATATTTTCTTTGCTTGCTCGCGACGATTTACGCCAGCGAATGGGTAGCGCTGAACACCGAAGCGAATGCAGACGCGAACAACTGCCTATTTCAGCCGTCTTACGGCTCGAGATTGGGGACAGCACTACCCTGCCGGAAAAGGAAAGGGAAGAGGATTCCCGGGGAGCTGACGAGCTGAAGGCGGGAGGCGGCCGAACAAAAAGCGACATTGCACCGCTTCCGCTCCCGAGCGGCAATGCGGAGAACTCGAGAACTCTCCCAACCCCGCTGATCAAGCACCACCTCGCACTACACACTTTCATAGACTTCTCAGCCCACGCTGCACCGGATGAAGCGCGACCGTGCGTCTAGCGAAGAAGAGGCGGAAGCAGGGAAAGCCGCTGTGGAGCGAAGAGCGGGCGGGAGAGGAGGACGAGCTTCAGAGCCAGCTGTAGACGGATCTAACACTCCTGGACTTCGGGTGCACGAATGGGGCCTCAACCCTTTGTTTTGGGTGAGCTGCTGTGCGTGCCACAACAGCAGTCGTGTAGGCTACCACGGTTGTTGTTGTGCAGGCCATGTGAAACGTTAGTTTTGGCAGCGCACAGGATGCATCAAAGACTGACTGCCATTGTTTACAAACCCATATTCTACTGGGCGACAAGACAAGCACCGTCCTCGAGGCTGAGCGTTCGTTGCGAGAGTCATCAGTTGGACATCACCTGAACCAGATGATTCTTCTCTGCTGATGTCTCCCATCACGCCTCTTGTCCTTTCTGATTGCGTGCCGAAGGTTGCACCTTGCAAGAGGGCGCTTGCAGACCAGACCTTGGGTTGTAGGAAATTGGGGAATCGCTACGGACGTCGGGGGTCCCAACTTTGTCTCTGAGTTGCACGTGTCACGCGATTCCCATCACCAGGGCAACATGCGCGGCTCCGGTCTTCGTATCTAGGACCCAAGACTGCTTGAACAGAGAGACAAGGGTGTGTTACCCACGAGAGATCAGGTGGTTTGTGCTCTGCGCTCTGCATCAAGATTCTTGTCAGGAGCTCCCCCACCCGCTTGAGCAAACGCAACAGAGCCCCGATTCCGATCTACGACGAATTACGTCGATCTACGTACGACCATCGGCTCCGGCGCACCTCGTCTTACACGTTGCATATCGGTGACCGTGATCCATTTTGGCGGCCTTGGTTGAAAGGCATTAGATTTACGGCCCTGGAGCCACCCGGCGAGTGAGCGGAGGCAGAGGTGAAAGCGGCCCGATTTCCAGATCCTGCCATCACGCGTCGTGCTCGCGGCTCGCGGGTTCCAAGCCTTATTTCATAGAGGTAAAATGGTTGGTAGCCACCGTGCGTCAAATCACGCAGTCTTGGGTCCTAAATGCTGCGGATGGGAAGCCGTCGGGTTGATCGCTTTTGCATTTTCAGGCTGGAGTAACGATCCTCGACCCACAAGATAGTAAAGTGTAAGCCTCCCAAGCAAAAATTGTCCTTTCTCACACGGTCCACACACTCCCAGTCGCGGCCTGAACCCTCAACTACCTCTCTAACGCGCGGAACGGAGACAGGCGAACATGCAACCATCGACTAAACTTAAGACACACCATCAATATTCCCTGACAGCCCCCCCCTCCGCCCCCTTCAGCCAATCTTGCAACTGCGGAACCCCCACTTTTTTAGGCATCCAGTTCGGTTCACGCACGGTGGCCTGCCTACTGTATGTAGTGGTTCGGTGGGAAACGTCGTAAAAGCTTCTGGCTCTAGGATGGGGGTTCGAGTCTCCCCGGAGTAAAAAGGCTCGCATTTTGGAAGTGGATAGCGCACACACAGTCAAAGTTTTTGTGTACACAACAGCGTAGAGGGCAGGAACTACGGATCCCTTCGCGCCCTGAAAATCAAAGGAACGCATTGCAGGAGCAAGACGACAGTGTACTCCTTTCGGTTGACCCCGGCTGGTGCTTCGAACAAGAACCGAAATGATGTAGACGGCATGTGTATGCCGCGATAGGCAGCAGTAGGTAACATGCCTATTCAGAATGGCGGAGCAGCAACTTCGGCAATGTATTGACGTACTCCGTAGCTTTAGTGGTAGCAGCAGCACGCTGCGTAAACGGCCCTGCTGTCAAGAAGACCTTTGAATTTTTCAATACGTACCTAGTGGCCCCCACTGGTTCGGCGAAGGTGGAGATCGGGACGTAATCATTAAATTTTTTTTTTAGCTGTTGTGTTGTGCGTAAGGCGTGCTCTCTCCTCTGCAAATCATCCAAGCAAATCTGACCCGGGAGCCAGCCAGTAATCGAGCATGTTTTACGTGTGGTCGTTTCCGAGCCACACCGCAACATAGCAGCGCACCGTAGTCTATACCTCCTCCGCGGGCTGCGATACCTTTGCAGCAGCTGATAGCTGTTCCTGCCTCTGCAGACGCACATCACTCAGATGGCGACCAGCATAGATGGGACAAAGACACAAATCCTCCAGATCCTCTCTCTCGGCTTTTTGTTGACCTCCTCCCCCCCCCTTCTCGGCTCTCGCTCGTCCCGCCATTTTTGCGCCGTAACTCCTGCCGTTTTTTGCGCCTGTTCAACGGCCCGACGTCCGTTCGTTGGTCACTTACTTCATGCGTGCGCTTGCTTCGAAAAAAAAATGTCAGAGCTACGTGAAGCTGCTCATAAGAGATGTGCACGGGCTGGGAACCCTAGGGGGTATCGACGACTCGCACGTGTTGCACGGCAACAAGGCCATCCACCGAGTAGAGGTTTCGGGCGTGGTGGTGCACGTCAAGCCCGGTGCGACCAAGGCCTCCGGCAGCTTCGGTGAGAGATCGTGGGAGAGGGGGAGGGGGAATAGAGAGGCACAGCTGGCGTCGGCTACGGTAGGCATTCTCGCGCTTGAGGGGAGGGGGGATAGAGAGGCACGGCTGGCGTCGGCTAAGGTAGGCGTTCTCGTGTATTTGGAAACCGTACCCCGTGCAAACCGCTGCCGTCCGGGAACATGCCAGGGACGTTGTAATTGTCATGCTGTAACTTCTTTCCCTATCGATTGAGTCCACCTACCTTGCCAAGTTTGTATGTGATGCGGCCATAGGGCCTCTGCTGACCCCAGGGGTGTAGATGAGGTTATGCTGCGGTCCCCGTGGGTGCGTGATACAAATACCCATTGTGTATCGCTGTCTTGGTCTCGAAGAACCCGTACATTGTATGTATGTATCGCTTCGTGCTTTGTTGTGTCCGCCACACGTCGTTTACGATACAGCAGATGGTTGATCACCGCTGTGCTAGTATCTGCCTACAGTAGTGCCGAGGTGAACAACTAGACTGTCCTCGGACTCGTGCGAACTGTCACAGGCGTGGCTGGGGTTGTGTTGGGGTTGACGCCGACGCGTGACACGGTGTCTACTCCGATCTCTACGGTAGGGTGCAACGCCTCCGGTAGGTGTTCCTTTTTTGCGCGTGTCATAGGAGCAACAAGCAATCAACTTACTCACACATCTCCGTCTGTGTGCCCGAACTCTTAAAACCAACTGACAACCAACAGTGAAGTACATACTCGACGACGGGACCGGGCTCATGCCGTGTACGCAGTACGAGCGGCACGCCGGCACCGGGGCCACGCACCGCGGGCACTCCGAGAGGCACGAGCTGGGCGAGCTGCTGGTCGTGCAGGGAAAGCTCAAGCGCTACAGAGGGTGAGCGAAACGGAGGACAACGACAACATTGTGCTGCCTCTCGACCAGACTCCTCCAAGCACTGCGTGATCGTAATAGCCGCAAATATATGTATTCCAGCGTCGGTTGATTTTGCAGATGCCACCTATTTAGACGGATGATGTTCGTAGTATTGAACTACGCTGCCGATGCGGCCTCACCGCTTTGCAACAAAACCCGACCCGCCAGGGCGCGAGAGGTGGCCATCACCTCGGCAAGCAAGCCCACGGACCCCAACCAGGAGACCTTGCACTGGTTGCGCTGCGTCGAGCTCGGTGAAACGGTCTACCGCTCTCCGTTCCAGGTGAGAGCAGTTCCAAGTTGCCACGCCAGACAAAAAATATGGCAGCACGTTGACGCTTGCCTCCTCAAGCAGTCCAGAGGCCACAAACGTGGATTGATGCCTAATGCCCTTTGTATGATTCTTTTTGGGAGCGTCGTGGGCGATGCGTTTTCGTTTGCGTCTACACTCATAAAGCGTGCTTGCCTGGAACATGATTTGTCAGGATACGATCATGGTGACAAATACCTTCATGAATCATCTCCACCCTTGTCAGCCCCCCACAACCCCTTGCCACACCATGAGTGTAGCTTAGGAATGTCAGACACTTTCGTGTTGAACCGCCCACATCCACAAACCGAGCTGAAAAGTGTGGCAATCAACTTTGTAACCAGTCTCGATTCTGACCCGATCCCTGTTGCTACAGCAGCTTCGAACCCAAACAAGCGAAGCTCCGGTTCTGTTCCCACCCTCCCCCTCAGCTATCTGACCTGCGAGCCCCTACTCGATTCGATTGGCAACGTTTACGACGTCGCAAAAACAACGACGACGACCCCCCGAAACCGAACACGCAGCGCGACGACTACATCGACGAGGAGCTCGTGGCCGGATCGAGCCAGGCCAGGCCAACGCAGTGCGGCTGCGGCGCCGCGTACGCGGAAGCCGTCGGGTACTGCCGCTGCGTGGCGGCGCCCCTGGCGCTCGACCCGGCCTTCGAGTTCCGAGACGCGCTGCTCGCCCGCCTGGCGGTCAAGGAAGAAAGCCTCGCGGGTCCCGACGAACACCTCCGCTTCCAGTTTGCGCGAGACGTGAGAGACGACCCTTCCCTGAAAACCGTTGCCGCCCGGGTCGTGGCAGCAGCAGCAGCAGCAGCAGCGCGGTCGGGTACTAGTGAGGGGCAGCGGCCGGCCAAGGCTGGGGCGGCGGCGGCGGCGGCACCGCAAGGGGTCATGCAGCAGGCGAAGGTGCTCGAGCTCTTGAGGGCGGTCATGTCCAGCCTGCACAGGGACGGCGCCCTGCACTTCCTGGACAGGGCCAGGGACGTCTACGTGCTCGTGTCTCGCGGTCGGGTGTTGCAGCCCGCGGTGGAGGAGGCGTGCCGCCGGCGGCGGCTGGGGTTGTCTCAGGAGAACGAGATCATCCGGGCCCTGCAGGGGTCGGCCCTGCTGCACCACGTGCCAGGGGCGCGCATACGGGCGTGCGTGCACCTCATGAAGCAGGCGGGTAGATCGGCGCAGCAGCAGCAGCAGCAGCAGAAGCCGGGGAGCCCGTGAAACCCTGGTAGTTGCTTTGGTCCTTTTGGTCTGCTGCCTTGGTTGGAGTTCTTATTTTATTGGGAAGGAGGATACGACGTCTTCAGAGCTAGTTTTGTAGGTCGTGCAGGATGATACGGGAGGGGCCGTATACACTCTCATCATCATGTTGCCTTCTGGAGAACAACGGGGTGCAAATCTGCCGGTTGCAAGCACCATGGCATTTTTCTCTCGCTTCCTTTTATTATCCCATCCAGTGCCTCCTCGCCTAGAGACTACACAGCAGAACGAGGGCTCTCCAATTCCCAACCCTTGCGGAATCCCTGCATAACTATGTAAGGATTTTATTACTTGCTGGCTCGCCGTGCTACACAACTATGCCTGCACTCGTACCCGGCGTAGACTAGCGACAAGCTGTATGCCAAGCATCACGCTCCACCCATCACTGACGGGGCGGCATGTATCCCCGCCCGCCCTTCCCAACATTTGTTTGGATCGCGACTCGACTATTTGTACACGATCTCGCACAAGGTGCTCTCTGGACTACCCATCTTACCATAAGAAAGGAAACCGCACGGTGGGAACACAACAAACAAATCGACATATAGAAAAAAGGATCTTCGTCATGACCACTCACTACTACTGTTTTCGGTTTGCAATACGAACACGCGTGGATGAAGGAGGGCAAGGGATGAAAACAACAAATCCAGCCGCTGCAACCACACACACGTATGGCACATGCCACAAAAACCCATCTCGTCCAGGTGTCTTGACCTGGCAGTACGGAGGCCTTCCCCCCCAACAACAATTATGATGTTGGTGCAGAGCCATCTACACACATCATACTTGTTATACGTGGAAGGGCAAGAATATGAAAGCGGCACAATACGAAAAGACCGCCTCGCCGCCAAGATAAGAGTGAGCGGACTGACTGTGGATGGGCGTGGTGTGTGTGGGTGTGATGTTGCAGCACGCACGGGGGCATGCGAGGCCTGGGTTCGACAACATCAGAAACGCCAAACGATGACCCGAGACACGGACAGCTTGCTTATTTGTTCTTCGAAAATGCCCAACGCAGGCAGGCGGCGGATGCGCTCCCGCCCTCTCTTGTTCTGCTTTGACAGCACACACTCGAAGGAAATAGACGCAACGAAAAAAAATGAGCAAAAAAAACGTTCGCAGACAAGAACGTCAGACCAGACAGCAAAATGAAAAAAACCGTGTTCAACACCGCAAACGAACAAAATCACGCCATTTTATAATACGCCATTATTCGCACATTGCAAAACACGCAACAACGAAATGGCTGAACCTTTCAGACTAGACTACCAACAGCAACAACGCGGTGAGACCTGAAACACATCAACATCTTGGCATGTGTCCTTCCCGCCGTCGAGAGGCCAAAGACCGCTTCGCGGCGCGCGCTCTTGCTTACATAAATATCAAGAATTGAAGAAAATAAACCGCCGCGGTGGTGGTGCCTTGATCCCCCTGTTGGTATCGAACAAAAACTTGAGCATCGTCGTGTATCGACCTGTCGAAAAATATTACTCCACGCCAGATGCCACCACTTTGCTCCCTGTTGCCCCCTACCATAACGGACGCTCGCCCCCCTCTGGTTGCCAAGCAGTGGCTCGGGAGGAGGCCCGCTCGGCGCTTCTGCGAATGTCCGTTAACAACCGATGATCACACATCATTGCCCTCGCAAGCCATTACTCCCTCGCCGCCTACTAAGCGACATGGAGCGCCGACGTCATCGCAGCAGTGTTTGTGCTGTTTGATTAGCAGAAGAACAACTCAGGGCGAGAACTTTCGAAGGGTTGTGTCCACACGGACGACCGGCGCGGGACGTCGCAGCCGCTCTCGGCGCGAATCGGACAGACTTCGACGCCCCCGAGATCCCTCCTGTCTTCACTCGGGCTTTTCGGCGTTGAGCACGGCTCCCGCCGCCTGCGCGCCCCCGGCGGCGGCAGGAGCGCTCTGGCCGTTCTCACCGCCGCCGCCGCTGTTGCTGCTGCTGCTGCTGCTGCTGCTGCTGTTGCTGCTGCTGCTCATGTTGTCGTCGCCATTGCCACCACCACCATCGGCCATCTGCTCGGGAACAAAGCGATGCGGGCTGAGCTGGAGAGGTGGGCTCCCGACGCCTCGAAAGAGACCCTGCAAAAAAAAAAAAGCCAACAAAATGACGCACGCACCACAGCGCGGGTTGATTCATGTATATATGGGTGCGTGTGTGTACCGCATTGTGTGTGTCTTCATTATTAAGTCGGCCGCGCAAACCGGCTGACCAATGAACAAGACGCCATTCTCAGGGCGGCTAAATCCGGAAAACGATTATATTCGAAAGGAAACAATCTGAGACCCCGTGAGGGGGTGTTACGGGGGAAGCTATGATGGCCTGTTTGCCGGATCCAAGACACGAGGTAAGTCACATGCGGTACGATTTGGACACAACATTCAGTCGCAAAAAAAGGAGACGCCTATAACAACCGCAACAACAGAACGACGCCAGACCGGTTTGCCAAGCCCCCCCCCCCAAAAAAAAAAGGTGAAACACAACCAGCCGCCCTCAAACGATATGAAAACCACCAAAAAAACTCTCTCTCTCTCTCTCGTTCCTCACCATCATCATCTGTCCCAGGGGCGACGCGGCCCTCGAACCATTCCTGGCAGCACCTTCCGCTTGTTGCGCGGGTTCCCTGGACCCCCCCGCCCCGTTCGTTGCCCTCGTAACGCCGTTGCTGCTCGCCGAGGCGCCGTTGGTCGCGCCGTTTGTCGCCCCTCCCCTTGCTTCCGGCGCCGAAGGACCCAGCCCGATCCAGGAAGCCCACACGCTGCTGTACGCGGGGTTGTAGGCCTCTTCCGTCGCGACCGCGGGGGCAAGCGGGCGACCACTCTCGACGTTCACCGCCGCCTCCGCCGCCGCTGTCGACGGACCCCCGCTCCCCTGGCGGCGGGGCATGGGCGAACGAAGGGGGGAGAGCATCTCGCTGCCGCTGCCGCCATCGCTGCCGCCTCCGGGCTTCGGAAAGACCGTTCTCACCACGCCGCCGCCGCCGCCGCCGCCGCCACCGCCGCTATCTCCGCTATCTCCCTCTCTCGGTGAAGCAGAAAAGAACCCTCTCCCGTGGAGACGGTCGGTGTTGCCTTCCTCCCCGCCGGGCGACAAGCCGTCCGCCGCCGCCGCCGCCGCCCCGTCGCTGGCCGAGCTACCGCGCCTCGCCGCCGACCTCCCGCCGCCGCCGGCGGCGCTGCCTCCACTGCTGCTGCCGTGACCACCATCAGCCCTGACCCAACCCCCCGCTCCCCCTCCGGACGAATAGCCTCCGTCGCTGCCGCCCGAACCCCCCCGACGCACCGCCGAGTTCAGCAGCGCCCGCCTCGCCGTGTTTCTGTCCACTTCCAGGCGGCGTTCTTCTTCTCCGACCGTGGGGGGCTCTGCCTGCTGAGAGCGGAGGTTCCTGGGTCGCAAGGAGCTCCGCGGGGGCCGCGCCTTGGTCGGCGCGGGCGTCGTCACCCCGACCGGCCCCGCCACTGCCACCGCTAGCTTACCGCCGTCATCACCGGCCGGCGGCGACGTGGACACGTGAGCGATCGGCAGATCGGTCGAAGTCGGGGGTAGCGAGCTGGGAGGGGCTCCTCCGGCGCGAGCGCGCCCCCCCCGAGATCGTCGTGGTGCCGAGGCGGCGGCGGTGCCATCGCCCAGCCTCCCGTGCGGGGCGGGGGCCGCGGTTTCGGACAGCGATGAAGAAGCCTCGCCGCCGCCGCCGCCGCTGCCATCAGCAGCATGGGACATGTTGTTTCTCGCTCCTGCTGCTGCTGCTTTGGTACTCGCAGAGGCGATGGTGCTGTTTCCGATCAAGCCGCGGGTGCTTGGTACCTTGGTGACCCCCCCAGCCTGACGGCGGGCCGCGAGAGGGATCGCCGTACCGTTTGAGATGGACTGAGGGCGCGCCATTTGGAGGGGGGGGGAGGGTATCGGTCAATGGTTGTGATGGGAACGCGAGACGAAGGAGGGGGGGGGGG